CAACAGCCTGTGAGGATGGAGTAGTTTCATGTCTGGTTAGAAAGACAGACTGTGAGGGCTGGGGGTGTAGCTCAGTGGTAGAAGTGTTCTTAGCACTCACAAGGCCCTGGGTTCAATGTCCAGCATCAAATGTTTTTAAAAGTATCAGGAGAGACTGAGGGTCCACAGCTCATCATCACCGCACAATCTGCATTCAAAGAGAAATTAATATAACTCATCTCCCTCTTTTGTAGCCCGCTCTCAAAAGACATCAGGCATTGGACGTCTGATGGTGCATGTCGTTGAAGCCACAGAATTAAAAGCCTGTAAACCAAATGGTAAATGCTTCTTTCACTCAACAGACATAGCAATGCCCTGCTCTTTGCTGGTGACCCTCTGCACTCTGAATGATGGGATGCATTTTTAAAGTAGTGTTCCCAGTGCCACAGAGATGTGATAATCCACTTATTGGACCAGTATTGTCACTCTGGCTCCCCACTAAGTACCAATGCCTGCCTTCCTCAGCGCTTCTGCATTGAAATGCACAACGCAGGTTGCACTGGCGTTGCCCAGGCTCATGGGGAGGGGGGTTGGCTTTAGAGCTCACAGTCGCTTCCAAGGGTTACAGTGAGGCTTCATGCTCGGGAACAGAGGCTGTACTGCCAGATCACAGAGCAGACGGGGTCTCTCAGGCAGTGGCCCTGCTGCGGTAGTCTCTAGTACTGCAGACCTGGTTCTGCTTGAGGACGGCCCTGTTTGTCAAGCATTTCACCTACCACGCTACATGTCTGTGGTTCATTTCTGTTTAGGAAAGAGTAATCCATACTGCGAAATCAGCATGGGCTCCCAGAGCTACACCACCAGAACCCTCCAGGACACACTAAATCCCAAGTGGAACTTTAACTGCCAGTTCTTTATTAAGGATCTTTACCAAGATGTGCTATGTCTCACTATGTTTGACAGAGACCATTTTTCTCCAGATGGTAAGTATAACTTGGCTTGGAGGTCAAAAGATGTTCCTAGTTTTCTAGAACTTAGGGTCTGTATCCAGGATGCTCAGCCATTCATACACCCCATGACTACTATGGGAAATGACACAGATTTGTGTCATCTCGTTTTAGCCACGGTGGATGCCCTTCCTCGGGGGGAGGGGACCGTGTCAGATGCATTTCAGGTCTTTGACCAGAGTCACTACCTGCACACACCAGCTAAACCCTGTGGGATATACTGAAGGAGTAGAACGTTCTCTGACCAGAGAGGCTTGGACTACAAATAGGCAGCTGCCCTTAGACAAATCTTTGTCATTGTACATGCATCTATTCAGAGTATCAAACAGCCATAGCCAAAAGAAGTTACTTGTTTTGGATGTAAAAGTTTTGTGAACCTCTTTTAGACACTTCTCTTGAGGTAGTCTTTTTTTTTCCCCCTGCATCTAATAGTTTTATAAAGAACAAAGACTTTGGACCTTTACATGATGTTTATTCACCAGATTTCCTAGGTCGTACTGAAGTTCCAGTGGCAAAAATTCAAACAGAACAGGAAAACAAAGGCCCTACCACCCGGCGACTACTGCTGCACGAGGTCCCCACGGGGGAGGTCTGGGTCCGCTTTGACCTTCAGCTTTTTGAACAAAAAACTCTCCCTTAGGGGATTGGGGAGGACAGCACCAGAGGCTCTGCCCTGAGACTGGGGCTAGAGAATAACAGAATGGGCTCTCCTGGGACTGAGGAGCATCACTCGGCTTCATCCATCACAAAGCCATGCAAGCTGGGGCCTGTATTTTATTGCACACTAAATTGCTAGCAATCTATGCAAACATGACCTTTCCTCTAAATAAACAAACCCCACAGCACAGTGCCTTGTACTAGTGTTAACATGTTCAGCTGTGTTTAGATGCCAGGTTTCCATTTTCAGGGCTATAAAAGTATTATGTGGAAATGAGGCATCAGACCAACAGATGTTACCACTTGGTGAATGTGTCTACCAGGGGGAGTGGTTTGGTGACACTGGACCATTCCACACATTGTGACCTCTGCTGGGTCACGGCACTCAGGAGGTGAAGGGTTGGGATGAAACGCTGCAGCCTCAGCACTCCCGCAGCTGATACTGATAGAGCGTCTACTCGTGCACTGAATAAAAACAGAAACTTGATCCTTTCCTTCCTAACTAGATTTTATCATTCTCTGCTATGACAATATAGATTGAAATATAAAGGGGGAAGCTTGATGTACTTTAAATACTGTGAATTCTAATAATGTGGAAAATATTTTTCAACTTTAATTTTCTGAAGTATAAATTATTTATGTAAATTCCTTGTTTGCATATTTCATAGGACATGCATCTTTAAGCTTTATCATTGCCAATATGTACAGAAGAGAATAAAAATAAAAGTTTATGAAGTTATCTTTCAAAGTATGACTGATTTATTTTCTACATGAAACACTTTTAAAAGGTAATTTCAGAGGCTGCTTATAGTGAAACCAAATTTCTTTTCTGGTACAATGGGGAAAAACCAAAGATGGGGTGACACTATGGCCAAGAGACCCAAGGCCTAGCTTGACTCTGCCATCAACTTGCTTTGTAACTTTGGTGAATCTGTGTTTCATGTTCCTGGGACAAAGTTTCTTCACTGGCCACAATGGAAAAATATAATTCAATATATTCAAACTTTTTTAATCCATCATTGACTCATTCCATGTATTGGTCCTGGACAATGATTGGATAAAACAGACAAAAAGAAGAAGAAACAGCATTTGGAATTGACAAAAACAACTGAACATTTTGCTCACTGACAGCAAAGTCTGGCAGGTCAGCACAGCCTCACTGAGCAAGCAAACTGCTGGCCATCTCTCAGGTTTGGAAAAATGCAAGTGTTGGTTCTGGAGCTAACTGTGGGCTAATGTCAGAATGCCTGCCATGTCCCTAATGATCGGGCACGTTTAAAACCAGTTCTAGGGTTTTTGTTTGTTTGTTTGTTTGGTTTTTAGCTGTAACTGCAGAACAATCCTCCTCTTCCAAGGACTACTGGGGACTTTAATTCTCACTAGATGAGCTGTGACTAGTACCATTTCTCCATCTTGAGACAAGTCAGGGTTCTTTAGGCAGATTTAGGACAGGGTCACCTGCCTGATCTGAGCAAGATGGCTTCAGTGACCTTGGAGGATAATGCCCGTCAGGAATGCACCCAGCAACTCCATCATCCTCTGGAAGGACACTTGGCCAAAGGGTAACTCCACCTTCCTAAAGAGGATCCGCTTGTTAGCCACCTGGCTTTGTTACCAAGTGTGTCAGAGGAGAAAGTGTCCCCTGGGGCATTACTGGGACTGACTTGGAGTGGGACACTATTCGTAAAACCTGGATATTGGCTCCCAGCCAGCACTGTGCCTCTCTGAGCATCAAATATTAGGGGATAATAATCCATCTTGCTATTAAAATTCTCAACTCAAGGTTCCTGTTTCATTACCAGAGCTCCATAAACAGTAAGTGCTACTATCTGGACATTTCTTGCAATATCCTTCCACTCCTCGAGGGGAAAACCATTTTCCCGATACTTTAACTATTGCAGGATATGGCAGACCGAAGTCCGTGAAGCTTTATTACCTTGTGCCAATGATGGCCTTGCCTGGCCATCCCCTGCAGGGAGGCCAGGTGCTTCCCCAGGACCTCGGCTGTCATCACTCTTCTTTCTACGGGCTGTGGCCCCCATCTCTGTTCATGATCCCCAGCTGCCCAGGAGCGGGGTCTCTGCTGCCGGGTCCCTAAAACCTAGTGACAGAAGAGAAGGACTGAGTGTGGTGTAAGGCCGTGGAGGCTCACTGGAGCAGGGGGACCCAGAATCCTGCCCCACACCCGGTCCTTCTGCCAAGCTGAGTCTCAGGGGGCTCTGCACCACCTCCTGCCTCGCTTGTCTCCTCTGCTCTCTGCGCTCTCCCGTGAGATCTCCATCCTCAGCTGCGTGGACCTTAGTGTGCAGAGACCTGCTGTCCACATGGGATCCCCTGCCACTGTGCTCAGACCAGCCAGGTGTTCCCAGCACCCTCGCATCCTTCAGTTAGGGACAACTGTGACAGGGTCCTAGCCTACAGATCAGAGGAGTGGCGTGCGTACCTCAGGCCTGGCCCACAGATGCTAGGGCAGAACTCATCCCAAATTGCTTCCCCTTTATGGTTGACATGAATGAGTTTCCTGGAAGCCAGGTGCTAAAGATGACAAAGGCCCATCAGAAGGCCCGAACAAGAGCAAACCTCTGTGTGTTTAAACCACTATCTACTGTTCGGTGACAGCAAATAACCTTTGCTACCATAAGAGTAGAGCGGACTAGTCACATGAAGATCTGAAATAAACAAGTGGATCATCACACCAAAAAGCTTCTATACAGCAAAGGAAACAAAAAATGAGGAATAGGAGAAAATACTTGCAAACTATATAGCCAATAAGGAGTCAGTATTCATAATACATGAGGAAATCATACAACCCAATAGCAGAAAAGCTAAGAACTCAATTTAAAAATGGGAAAGAGCTTGAATAGATTTGGGGTATTTACCCAGGGATTCTTTACCACTGAGCTACATCCACATCCCTTTTTATTTTTAATTTTGAGACACGGTCTCACTAAATTGCTTAGGGTCTCACTAAATTGCTGAGGCTGGCCTTGAACTTGTGATCCTCCTGCCTCAGCCTCCTGAGTTGTGAATAGATATTTTTTAAAGAAGACAAATGATAATAGCCATAAGAAAAGATGCTCAACATCACTAATCAGGGAAATGTAGATTGAAACCACAGTAAGATACCATATCACACCTGTTAGGTTGTCAGTTATCAACAAGTCAAATTAACAAGTGTGGGTGAGTATATGGAGAAAAGGGAACACATGTCCACTTTCAGTAGAACATAAACGGGTACAGCCGTTATGAAGAACAATATGGAGGCTTCCCAAAATTTAAAAACAGAACCTCTATACCGTCCAGTTACTTCACAACTGAGCATATATATTTGAAGGAAATAAAACCATGTCTTGAATAGATATTTTCACTGCCATGTTTATTGCAACATTATTCACAACAGCTAAGACAGGTAAACTAAGTGTCCATTGAAAGGTGAATTGGTAAAGACAAGGAAGTCCTATCATTTGTAACAACATGGATGAACTTGGAGGACATCATTCCCAATGAAACAAGCCAGTCCCAGAAAGATTAACACTGCAAAAACTGGTTGATGTGTGAAATCTAAAAAAGCTGAACTCAGAGAGCAGGTGAGAGGTGGGAAAAGGAGGAGACCTTGGTCAAAAGCTGTCCACTTTTAATCATGACGCTCTAGAGACCCACTGTACAGCATGGTGACTAAGTTATTAATACTCTATTATATACGGTTGGACTTCCCTATTCATGGATTCCTCATCCATGGATTTAATCAACTGCAGATCAAAAATATTTGGGGGAAAAACTATCTGTACTGAACATTTAGACTTTTTTCCCTGATCATTACTTTCTAAACGATACATCAGAACTATTTAAAAGTGCATTTATATTGATCTAGGCATCTTAAGTAATCTAGAGATGACTTAAAGTACATAGGAGGATGTGCATGGGGTATGTGCAAAAATTACACCGTCTATCTAAGGGGCTCGAGTGTCACATGCTGTGGGATTCAGAGCATCCTAGAAACAATCCCCACAGATACCAAGGGACAACTGGACCTGAAACTTGCTGAGAGAGTGGGTCTTAAGTGTTCTCACCACACACAGTCACAAGGTGGAGTGAAGGATATATTATTATGTACATGAAATCATCACCCACATTCAATATTTTAAAAAATTGAATGGGGGGGGAGCTCCTTTGCTCTCAAATATAATTATGCTCAGAAAGAGCTGATGAGGAAAGCAGTCTGGTAACCTGCCATCTAAGGAGAATTCATTTGGCTCCAGAGAGACTGGGAGAACAACAGGCTGAGGAGAAGCTGGGTCCCAAAATATCCAACCAGGTTTTCAAACTGGAGAGAGGAGATGGTCCTTGGCCCTCTGCGTGTGGCTGGTGGAAGGAGAAATCAAAGACGTGCCGCTGTCCACTCACACCAGGTCCTGGACCCTTGGCCTACGGCAGGCGCTTCCCCAGGGGCTAACCTCAGGCCTCAGGGCTGTGGGGGAGGGATGGGGGCGCAGGCCAGGAGCTGCTGTGCCCACCAAGCCGTGAGCACTGGGTGGAAAACTGATGGCAAAATCCCTGCATATAAAACACCTCTTAAGGCTGGGGCAGCTCTCCTGGCAAGCACGAGGCCTGAGGTTCAATCCCAGCACCACTAAAAGAAAATAAAGGTAAAATAAAAGACCTTTTAGATATTTAACATCTCATTTTGCTTTACCCCTTTTTGTATAAATTTCAGTTCAAAAAATCCCCACCTACTGTGGCTGAACTGAAAACAAGATTTTTGGTCAGGCTTGGATGTGAGAAGTGATCAATGGTAGAAAAATGGTGGGAGGATGCAGACTCATGGAAAAGAGCTGAGACCACCTTAGAGGGCAGCTCCTTCTGCCAAGGGTCTCTTGAAAGTGGGTTCCAAGGTCCCACATCTGCCACCATCTGAGCCTCATGACCCAAGGCTTTCCCACCCAGAGTGTCCCCCCAGCAGCAGCTCCAAGTCAAGGCAGCCCACTGTTTTTTGTGCATGGAGCCACTGTCCCCTTCTGCCGGCTCCTCTTTGCCCCTTTCCTGGGCTACTGCCCCCTCTGCCCCCAGGAGCCTAGTTTTGAGGGAAGGCTTTGCTGGGGGCTCTGCTTTTGAGGTGGAGAATACTGTTTTGGGGATGCTGCCAAATCCTGCCAGCCGGGCCCTGCCCCAGGTCTCGCTCACCAGACCCCTCTTCTCAGCCTCTTTGTTCTTGCGGAGCTGGGAGACACGGAACTGCCTTTCAAAAGCAAGCTGGCTGAGGTCGGTCGTCTTCTCCTTACCAAACAGACGCTTCTTTTCCATACAGAGAGGCCTTTCAGGACTTTGGAGAAAAGAAGAAACATTAACTCAGAACAAACTGAACTGTACCATTCTAAGGAATTAATTTAGTGAACTCTGTGTTCATTATAAAAAGGAAAAGCCATCGAGACATCAGTGTTAGCTGTCCCTCTGCTATGGATTGGATGAGACCCCTAAAGGTCCTTACTGAACTTATGTTCCCAGGTTGGTAGTACGGGGAGGTGCTGTGAGGCCTATTGGGAGGGTCACAGGTCTTGGGTGCATGTCATTGAAAGGGACCATGGGACCTTGGTCTTTTCCTTTTTCTCTCTCTGCTTCCTGACTCCTGATGTGAGCAGTTTGCTCCTACAAGTATTCTTGCCATGATGTACTTCCCTCAACAATGGCCCAAAGCAGTTGGGACCACCTCATCCTGGACTTGAACTTTGAAAACTGAGCTACGTAACCCTTTTCTCTTTGGAGGCTAATTGCTTCAGGTATTTCACTGTGATGAAGTGAAGCTGGCTAATACAGCTCTCAGTCTCTCTCTGCCCCCCCACACCCCTGCTGGCACAGTCTGCAGATAAGCAGGTGTCCTGGGACCCTTCTCCAGCTGTGGCTGAGGCACAGAGAGAGTTGTGATGAGGGATTAATACACAGCCTCCAGTGCTCAAGCCCAAAAGTCAGCAAAACTGGAGCATCTGCTTCCTACACCTGCAGAGAAAGCAGTGTGCACAGAAACAGAAATGAAGCAGGTTCACAAGAAGTGACAGTGAAAACCACATAGTCCCCAAAAGGAAGGGACTGATCTCTTGTCCCCCAAGCAGTCTGGCTTTCTGGCCTTGTCTTTCACAATATGTTGGTGCTTTCTAACATATGTACCTCCCCTGCCCCCCATTTCTTTAACTTGAGAAGGATTATGTTCTTTGTTAATCATATTGCTTCTGACTCATCTGACCACCTTGTGCTTAAGTCCTTTCTTACTTGGTCAGCTGTGTGAGGCACCCAGAGGGCTGTCACCAAAAGGCTGCAGGTAACCCACCCCCATCTCTTTTCTCCCTCCATTTACGTGTCCCCCACCACTCTCTAGCTGAGCACTGGGAACACAGCCCTGCCCTCAGGGGCTGGCTGCTGGGAGGGTGGGCCATGCTACTGTGGGACTTTCTTGCAGCACTGAAGTGGCCAGTGATAGAGCAGGGACACTCATGACCCCAAGGGTCAGGAGCTGTAAACATGCAGACTTGACCAGAGACTCCTGTGGATAATATGTATTTCTTTTCTTTAAGGAAAAGGGATTTTTGAGATGAAGCCAGAAAGGGTGTCAGGGCCCAGATGGCACCTCGTGTGCCTAATAAGGAGACTGCCTACGTTTGAGAGGGTTATGGGAAGCTACCAAGAGTTCTCAGCTGATTGCTCCTGAGACATCACTCAAGCTATTAGGCAGAGACTCTGGAAGAGACCAGATTAAAGAAGAAGGATCAGCTGAGCACTGCAACATCAGGGGCTGGGGAGCCAGAGAGGAAGAGGAGATGAGAAGTTAGGTTATTATTAATGTTCAAATAAAAGTGGTTTTAAAAAGGGCTGGGGATGTGGATCAGTGATAGAGCACTTTTCTAGAATGTATATAAGGCCCTGAGTTTGAACCCCAGCACCATGACACTTCCACTTGGTAGTGAGTGTCCAAATTTGCATTCTGCTGCAACAACTAGTGGGAACCAGAAAATCTACCCCAAACACTCATAACTGTAAAGCCACTGGATGTCTGTGGAAACAATTCCAGAACGGGGACAGGCTGTCAGGACTGAGCTGACACCCTCCAGCTAAGCCCTGCTTCCACACTTCCCTTGGAGCATTTCGAGTACCAGGGCAGAAACTGCCTCCTCTGTGCTCTGAGGATCTTTGGCGGGTTATTTTTCCTCCTGGGACCAGGTAGCTGTCCTCACAGTTAGGCATTTAATCTTGTTCTCAACGTCTCCTCCCGCAGTGGGCAAGTCAAGCTACGTATTTGAGTTAGGTTCCCCAGTGAAGTGAGGGTGGTGACTCTCCAGACCCCTGAGCACAGACAGCCCTCTTCAGAACGTTTTCCTATGAAAAGAACCAAATAGGAATTCTAGAACCGCACAACAAAATGGCTGAAAATAAGAACTCAGCAGATGGGTTTAACAACAGATTATCAGACACAATGAAAGAGATTTTAAAAAATCTAGAATCAAATATGGAGAGACAAAAAGAATAGAAAATTCACAAGAAAAGTAAGAGCCATAAAAGGTCACAGTGAGAAAATCTAAAATATGTTTAACTGGAGTACCCAAAAGAGAAGAGAGAGAGAATATAGCAGCAGTAACAATCAAAGAGAAAATGACTCAGAACGTTCCAAAATCAGCTAAAGACATGAATCTACAGACACAAGACAAACCATGAATTCCAAGTAGAAAAAGAAATCCACATCTGGAAACATCCCATAACAATACAAAAAAAAAATCAAAGAATGAGAAAATCCTAAAAGTATCCAGGGAAAAGAGATAAATTACTTTGAAAAAAACAGCAGTAAGACTGGCACTTGATTTCTTAATTAAAAGAGTGACAACAGGATATATGTTAAAACAAAATAACTTCCAACCTAGTATTCTTTATTGTGTAAAAGCATGCTTTTATAAATGAAGGTGACTTTACTGTCATGTATATCTAAAAAGAACAAATAAATTTTTTTCTTTTAAATGAAGGTAGGGGGCTGGGGTTGTGGCTCAGCAGGAGAGCTCTTGCCTAGTGCCTGCGAGGCCCTGGGTTCAATCGTCAGCACCACATAAAAATAAATAAATAAAAACAAAGGTATTGTGTCCAACTACAACTAAAAAAAAAATTTTTAAATGAAGGTAAGCCAGGTATGGTAGTGCACACTGTAATTCTAGTGACTGAGGAGGCTGAGGAAGGAGGATCACAAGTTCAAAGCCAGCCTCAGCAACTTAGGGAGGCCCTAAGCAACTTGGTGAGACCCTGTCTCAAAATGTAAAAACAAAAAAGGACTGGGGACCCATCATTATGCACAACTATAATGCACCAATAAAAAATAGGAAAAAATTGGAGGGAGGGCTGGGAATGTAGTTCAGTGGTAAAGCACCCCTGGGTTAAATCTTCAGTAATAGATAGATAGATAAATAGATAGATAGATAGATAGATAGATAGATAGATAGATAGATAGATAGATAGATAGATAGATAAATGAAATGTGAAAGACTATTTACTATATAATTCCAAACATATGACACTCTGGAAAAGAAAAATCTATGGAGCTAGTAAAGAGATCAGTGGTTGCTGAGAATGGGGGCAGGGGATAAATTGGTAGAGCACAGATGATTTGGGGTATAGTGAAACTATCCTGTAAGATACTGTAATGAGAGCTGCACATCACTATACATTTGTTAAATCCCATAACATGGTATACCACCAAAAATGAACTGTCACATAAATCATGGACTGATTATGTCAATGTGCTTTAAATCCCATAACATGGTACACCATCAAAAATAAATTGTCACATAAATCATGGACTGATTATGTCAATGTGCTTTCATTGATTGTAATGCACTATTGTGGCAAAGGATGTCCACAGTGGAGGAAGACGTGTATCTGTGGACAGAGAATATAAAGGAACTGTCTCACTATTTTATGTGAACATAAAATTTTCTGGAAAACTAAAATGTATTATGTTAAAAAGAAAAAATAAAGGATAAGTAAGGATTTTAAAGCTAATAGAAGCTGAAAGGGTCCCCATAAGCAAAAACACACTTAGGAAAATTATAAAAATGATTTTTGTTTGTTTACTAGTTGTGAAGGATAAACTCAAGTATTTATAAATGATACAACTTGAGGCCTAGAAATACTTCTAGAAAAGATTTGCTTCAGAAAAGAAAGAACAAAAGTTATAGTGAAACAGGCCCAAATCTCCGTCATGTCAGAGGCCCTGTTAAAAGACTCCTAAAGCATAAGAAGTAAAATCAAGAATCAATAAATGGGATGGATTCAAACTAAAAAGCTTCTTCTCAGCAAAAGAAATAATTGATGAAGTGAAGAGGGAGCCTACAGAGTGGGAGCAAATTTTTACCACACATACCTCAGATGGAGCACTGATCTCCAGGATGTCTAAAGAACTCAAAAAACTTAACACCAAAAAAACCAATAACCCAATCAATGAATGGGCTAAGAAAATGAGCAGATTCTTCACAGAAGAAGATATACAACAAATTTATGAAAAAAATGTTCAACATCTCCAACAGTTAGAGAAAAATCAAATCAAAACTACTCTAAGATTTCATCTCACTCCAGTCAGAATGGCAATTATCAAAAAATCAAGCAACAATAAGTGCAGGCAAGGATGTGGGGGAAAAAGGTACACTGATTCATTGCTGGGATTGCAAAATGGTATAACCAGTTTGGAAAACAGTATGGAGATACCTTAGAAAACTTGGATTGGAACCACTGTTTGACCCAGCTATCCCTCTCCTCTATACCCAAAGGACTTAAAATCAGCATGCTACAGAGATGCAGCCACTTCAATGTGTATAGCAGCTCAATTCACAATAGCTAAACAGTGGAAGCAGCCTAGATGCCCTTCAATAGATGAATGGATAAAGAAACTGTGGTATAGATACACAGTGGAATACTACTTAGCCTTTTATTTTTAAATATCTTCATTTTATTTGGGATCTGTTATTTGTGTTTCATGCTGTTCTCTACATATACTGCCTAACACAAAGGTGATGATAGTAAAAACGAGAAAACCAGAAGTCACTAAAAAAAAAAAAAAAATGACTAGTTACAAAACTTACATTAGGAAGTACCCTAAACTGCAGGTGCAACAAGCATTTGCTTGTTCATTTGGGTGCTCTCTCCGTACCTGAATGCCTTACTTTTCCTGGGTACCCCAGAGGCTTTATGAGACTCTTTCGGAACCACGTTTTGCAGAGTGAAAATGAACGGGGGCCATTTGGCGTGCAGTCTGTCCTTGGTTTCCTTGAGCTCTTTGGCGAAGTATTGTTTTCCTGTAGGAAAATGAAACATCTAAGTCAACACTCTTAAAAACAGCCCCAGTGGGTCTTGGGCTGGAGCATCATTTGACAATTGGCAGTCTCTAAGCCCGAAGTCCCTGACCCCAGAGCACCTGTCTCATATCGACGGCTGGCTCTGGCCTCTTCCTCTGCCTTTTGCTGTCTTCGCAGCAGAGGACCACAAAACGGAGGGACTGGAGCCTGCAAAAAAAGTGACACTCTTTGAGACCCAAAATGCCTTAGTATTAGGCTGTCCACACCTGGGCAAAGCATTCCAGGCCTTTGTGTACCCTGAGAACAGAGGCCCAGGAGCACCCTGTCCACAGAGCCGGGAGAGTAGACAGCGGCTGCCTCCATGGAACAAAGGGAAGGAGGTGGCCTGCTCCCTCTGGCTCAGTCCTGCTGTGGCTGGGCCACTCCACGCCACGCCCAGGCCAGGTCTTGACCTGGAGGGTCTCTCAGTCTAGAACAGACAGGTCACACACAGTGACCATCTAGTCTTGAGAGAAGCCAGCTCAGGACACTGCAAGAGCACAAGGAGCGCTCCAACTACCGAGGGGGAAGCCGCTGCAGAGGGGAACGCCCGCAGGCCGTTTTACAAGGTATTTCTTTCTCCCCTCCTGATTATAAGCCTTGGGCTTTTCCCTGCAGTTCCTCACAACACTTAACCCAATGCTGGGCCCCAGGGTCTGGGTGCCGCGCCAAGCATCTCAGACAGGACTCTGCATCTAATAGAAAAAAAAGCAGGCCCAAACCTCCACCATGTCAGAGGCCCTGACTTCCTTAACAAGACTCCTAAAGCGCAAGAAGTAAAATCAAGAATCAATAAATGGGATGGGTTCACACTAAAGAGCGCATGACCAAAAGAACCTGATCTGGCTTGGGTTTCTGCAAGAAGCAAAATAAACCACGCCTCTCTTCAGGGTGAGACATATCATTAAAACAAACAAACAAAACAAAACAAAAAACCCCACAACTAACAGCAATATCTGATGCCTAATTCTGCTGCCCAGGAGCAAAACTAAAACCTGCATCTCGCCGTTTTAACTGGTTCACTGGTAGGATTCCAACTCTTGGCTCTTCTGGGCACCCTTCCTGCGACCCCACACACCTTCTGCAGAGAGGAGCCTCCTAAGTCCCATTGACTCTGTATAGATCCTGTGACAAGTCACGCTCCACTGTACACACTGTCCCCGGGCCTCTCTTCCTCTGTTGGAGGCCAGTGAACAAATGAATAAATGAAAGAGCAAATTTCTCACGCAGATACATTATGCAACCATCTAAGTTCTTTGGGTTCCTATTCTAATAGTCAGGGAAAGGCTTATTTGGATATTTAGCAAAGGGATAGAGAATAACTCTGAGAACTCGCAGGCTCGGGGGTGGGGGGTAGCTCAGTGATAGAGAACTTGCCCAGCATGTGTGAAGCCAGAGCTCCCTCCCAGCACACACACACAGAAGCACTAAAATGACCAGGTTTTCCCAACTCCAGCACTCCTAAGGATAAATAAATAAAAGACGCCTCCCGTGCTTTTCCATAATTTGGTTTCTTTCTCTTCCTATAGAAAGGATCATCATAATGATCCCTAGATACAATTTCTTTTAGGAAAACAACACACCTAAGAGCAAATCACTGTACAAGAACTGTTTGCAAGATTCATAAAAACCAAATAGCCAAATGCTCATTTTTAGATAAACACACAGCTTCAAAGGGTTATAAGAGGCTTTGGCAGAAATTTAGACTGCAGTGAAAGTCCACCATCTTTTACAAGGAATCATTCAGTTTTAGTCTGAAATCACCAAAGAGCCTTGTTTTGAGAACTTTCTGCTCCACAAGGCAGTCGCTCTTTTGGGTCATTTTAATCATGAGGAAGTTTATCCTTAGACTGAGGGTGATTCTGCCTTGTAACTTCCTGGTGCAGACGTGAGTTCACACGCCTGCCCATCAGTCACAGGTCTGCCTTGCATACACTTAGTATTTACTCCCCTTCGGGCCAGCTCCTGGGTAAACACCCACCTCTCTCCACTCTTCCTGCTATGAAGTGGGGCTGAGACTCCACCCTCTTCTAAAGGTTCAATAGCTGTGTGGCAACAGGAGTGACAGGGCCAGACAGGCTGGGTACAGCCTATTTCACCTGAGAGCGCGGATGTTTTGGTGGACGCCAGCTCACGTGGCTCACACTAAATCACAGACACTCGAAATCACTTGGACTTCAACATGTTATTTTTGAGAAGTGACTTTCCTGTGGTACACGTGTATGATCTCACTTCTGGACATAACTAAGATTGTGCACTTTGATCGTGCACTCATAGGGTATGTAGGTATTTAACATATATATCAGAAATGTTGTTCACAAACACACTTCAGCACTCTGACATCCCAACTAAACTGTTCTACATCTCAGTAAATACCTAAGGAGGGGGACCAAAAACAAAATGAAGAGTGGCTGGATATGGTGGCACACGCCTGTAATCCCGCTGCTCGGGAGGCTGAGACAGAAGGATTGCGAGTTCAAAGCCAGCCTCAGCAATGGCAAGGCACTAAGCAACTCAGTGAGACCCTGTCTCTAAATAAATACAAAATAGGGCTGGGATATGGCTCAGTGATCGCTGGTTGCGTGCCCCTCGGTTCAATGCCTGGTATTCACCCACCCCCCCCCCAAAAAAAAAAAAAAACAGAGTGAAAATACTGTAGATAAATTTGGTACTGCAAATAGGTGGGCTTAAATTCCTAAGGAGACTTCTGACCTCAAAAGTTAAAAGAAAAAAACATCTTCAAAGTAAGAAACCAAACGCATGTTGTTTTGTAAAGCCAGTCTGCAGAGCTGCACTGTTAGCCCTGTATCAATGGCTGGCTGACCACAGAGATTAGAGAGGCTCTCTCCTGACCCTGCGTGGACACATGACCCAGTCCTGGCTCATGAGAGCTATGGGAAAGCTGGGTAGGGGATCCCGGGACCCACTGCTTCCTGATCAAAGAACAGGGAGGAGTAGAGTCACTAGCGCCTCCCCGCTGCAGCCGTAAACACCATCAGGCAAATGTGAGTAGGATGAGATGAATGGAAAATATGAAGAAATATTATGGATACAAAAATAGAAAAAACTGACATTTATTAAAAAAAAAACTCGGTACCGTTTTATCTGTGGATTTTAAAAAACATTCAAAGTTCTCTCGCTTTTTTTTTTCAGCTCCTCTGTTTGAAGTTACTTTTCCCATAATTCTCTGTTGAATGGGCTCTGCGACATTCATAATCCATTTTCTGTGTAACATCTCTTTTCTTCTTTCCTTAAAAGTATCCAGATGCTGAAAAAATGTATCCAATCTCTATTGAATGCAAACAAAACAAATTATTAAGAGATTTTCCATTTATGGGGATTTGAATATGGGGTGAGGGGAAGACACACTTCTCTATTCCTGAGCTCTCCACCACAAGTCCCAGCACAAGATCCTGAGAGCACGGAGCAGGTAGAAGTCATAAACAGTCCTAAGGCACGCTGTGCCTTCATACTGACCTGCTTTTCACTCATTAACCAGATTAAACTGTTTCTAGCTCACCAATTTTTTTTTTTTTTTTGCTTCTTTTTAAGGATTTCAAAACATTTTCTGGTTACCCAGTCCATGTCCAGCCCTTATCATCAGAAAAGGTTGTGACTAAATTGGGAGAGCAAAAAAGAGCACCAAATTTGTTTAGACACCTCATTCCCATCTATAAACAGGCTTCCCACCTACCACCTTTGATGCCCAAATGAGAACATATGTGTATTTTCTTCAAACTGCAAACCACAATACAAATGTCAAAGTATTATTAGAACTCCCAATTTCAACCCCGCTCACTAAGATCAACCCCCCCTTAAGTTTATTAATTCCATAGTGATGACGGATGGTTACTCTTGAATACTAATTCGTTTTGGTGGTTTTAGGAGATACAGGAGAAGGAGGCAAGTTTCAGGAGGAAAGAATTTCTATGTAGTCCCAGGACCAAGAAGGGGAGCAGTTAGAACAATCCCTCAGACACATTCAAACAGGATTCAGGACTCTTAGTGATCCTGCAAGGAGGTGGCACAATCTCAGGTCTCTGCAGTATAAGGAGTGAATCAGAGAGCCTCATTCTCCCTGCAAAATGAGTCTCTTTGACGCGGTGCTACAGTTTGGACAGTAAGTCCTCCCAGAGAGTTGAATGCTCGTCCCAGCTGACAGCACTATTGGGGGTGGTGGAGGCGAGGCCTTACTGGAGGAAGTAGGTCATTGGAGGGTAGATTGAGACCCCTGCCCCTTCCTCTCTCTCTTTTTGCCCCCTGGCTGCTGTGAGATGGGCAACTCTGCTTCACCATGCACTCCCCACCATGAAGTCCTGCCTTGCCACAGGCCCAAAGCCATGGGGCCAAGTGACCACAGACTAAAACCTCTGAAGCTGGGAGCCACAATAAACCTTTCTTCTTTTTAAGTGGTTTATCTCAGGTATTCGTTGCAGTGAAGAAACCCGACTAACCCAGGGTGACACCAGCTCTCGGCCATGCTCTCTGCATCCCTCTTGCTCCCCCCAAGCACACTTAGAACACACCGTCTGTAGCCAGCTCTTACCTTCACAACATAATTTTCTCTAAATAATATTGCATGTACAGCTTCATCAATGTCTTCTCTAGCTAATACCTAAAATTACAGAATTGGAGAGGAGGAGGTTAATCCTGAAGAAACAAACCAGAATGACAAGTCTCAGGGTAGGTTACCCATAGCTTTAGTGTAAATCTAATGGCTGCACCTCAAAGCACAGTGTGTGACTTTTTATTAAGGAAAATTGTGAAAACTCATCATCTAGGTTCATCAATGATCAACTCACAGTCAATTTCATTTCATCCAAATCCCTACTCATTTTCCGCCCTCCACCCAGATGACTCTGAGACAAATCCTTGACATCAGGGCTGGGCTTGTGGCTCAGAGGTAGAGCGCTTGCCCAGCGTGTGTGAGGCGCTGGGTTCAATCCTCGTCACCACATTAAAAAAACAAATAAATAAAGGCATTGTGTTCATCCACAACTGAAAATATTCTTAAAAACCCTTGACATCACGCCATTAAGTCATTTTTTAAGTAACAATAAGCTTACTGATTAAAGGGATCCTGTACAAATTGAAGCCTCTTTTCGGGTACTCATTCATTAGGTATGTTTTAAAGGGCCCTTGACGTCTCCTATCTTGTGAAAGGTCACTTCACAAGTCAAAAGCACAGGGAGTTCTGTTGAGAGCAACACCTAGAGTCTCCAAGCTACTTGTCCCAGCTTCTGACTTCTTACAGACCTTGTCTCACACGAGGGACTTGGTTTCCATTATGAGTCTGAGTGAAGCTGATGCCTTAATATTCACTGTGGGCCTTTTCGTTTGGATAAGTATAAACTGGTCTGCAGTTTTGATTCCTATATTGCTAAGGAGGAAAAATGAAAGGGCAATAAAAAGCCAGTCTCTGAGCCTGGCATTGTGGCCCATGTCTGTAATCCCAGCGACTTGGGAGGCTGAGGCAGGAGGATCACAAGTTCAAAACCAGCTTCAGCAACTTTGCAAGGGCCTGAGCAACTTAGCAAGACCCTGTGTCAAAATAAAATTAAAAAGGACTAGGGATGTGGCTCATTAGTTAAGCCTGGGTTCAATCTCCAGTAAAAACAAAACAAAACAAACACACACACACACACACACCAGCATCTGGAAGAGATACACTGTCACCTGGAATAATTTTATCTAGTGAAAAATCATACAGGTGGGGCTGGGGTTGTGGCTCAGTGGTAGAGTGCTTGCCTAGCATGTGTGAGGCACTGGGTTCAATTCTCAGCACCACATATAAACAAATAAATTCATAAAGGCCCATCAATAACTAATAAAAGTTTTTAAAAAAAAAAAAATCATACAGGTTCTTAAAATGTGGTTATTCCATCTCTGGTTCTTCTTTCTGTTCCTGCCATTTTTGCATCAAAGTCAACTAAACCCCAAATCAAAATACCCCATCTGTAAATAAAGACATCTCAGAAAGGAGAGCTTTATTTTTATCCATAGTTTCATATCTTCATGTGAAATCTAAAATGATATTTGAACAGCTAGTTGGATAATCTCCAAAACGAGCTCTTTATAGTGTAAACGGAATCTCACTTCAAAGCCTCCTCAGACTTATTTTAAGAAGGAAACTGAAAACGTATGTAAAACAAACACGTTTCCCGATACTAAACTATAAATTTAGAACCAATCATTCTATTTGGAGAAGTAGAAATCTGACAACTGTCTTGGGAACCCCCCACCCACCCCCAGCCACCCCAGAGGAGGAGGAAGCAGATGTCACACACACTGTCGCTTGTGCTGTGCGGCAGGCTGAGCCCAGGGCGCAACCCCGGAGCCACCTCCCCAGCCCTTTGGTTTTTTATTTTGAGACAAGGTCTCTCTAAATTATACTAAAACTGACCTCGACCTTCAGACGCTCCTGCCCCGGCCTCCCAGATCTCTGGGATTACCGGAGTGTCTTCGGTAAACCACCTTTCTTTGTTAAAGAAATGGGCAAGAAAATAAGCAGAACTTTCTTTACAAGGAGGCCAATCAGAGGGCGGTAGAGACAACCACGCTTTGCTCTCGAGAGAATCCTTACCGGACCTGGGTGCGAGGAACTGCCCGGGAGCCCCTGCGGGGCCAG